ATATTTCTGACGGCCCATGGTCTATCTTGCCGCGCTCTTATGTTAGAACTTCTGTCCAGGGCTAGTACCTGAGCCATTAACAGTACTTTTTCGGCCTCTTCGGCAGAGTCCAGTGTAACCCGTAATGGGGGTGGCTTACCCTGAGGCGTGTGGACACCCCTGTACAGTCTGCACAGTTTTGCTGAACTAATGTTCAGACCTAGTTTGCCACACAGGTTGGACCACTGTTCCTGATCAAACAGGGCCCGTTGTTCGAGCAAGCTATCCGTGCTCACAGGTACGTTAAAGAGGATGAGAGAGTTAGACCGACTACCCTCAGACTTAGGTTTTGCCTTCGGCTTCTTGCAGTCCTTTGCATCATTAGCAACATTAGGCTTCGTCGGTACCTGGACAGCCTTTTTTGTGTTGCCAGGCTTGCTAGTGGATGCAAGTGGTGCCTTTGTAATTTTGCCCTCCCCTGATGTGGATGGAACCTTGCTAATCTTCACCTTGTGAGAATTGGCATTTCCAGTCAGTAGGGCTGGTGTGTCCTTCTTTAAGTCTTTGACCAGTTTCGGCAGTGCGAGTTTAGCAGGGGGGAGCTGCATGATACTGTGTTGGGGCACAAGAGCATGTTATTTCTGCTATCCGCAGACACGCTTTGTGGGACTATGCCAGGGCGACAAAGTGGACACACGTACCAAAACCATGGGCATGGGTTATTTCTCATAAACTCATAGTATGCTTTCGGTACTTCTTTGTCACAACGGCAGTGCACCCATCGTTTGCAAAAATTACATTCAAACGCTGAATCAGTTTTAGAAACTGTGATGCTGCACGCCTGGCATTCATCCCCTTTCCTTGATGACGCCTTCGAGGTCTTATGACGTCTTGAACGTTTCCTTTTAGGCTTGATGTGTTTCACACACTGGCCTACAGTTGATGCAGGTGTAGAATTCTGTCCTTCTGGTATTGCCTGTGCCGTTTCAGTACTAGACTGTGGCAATGCAGGCGTTGTATCAGGGCAGACTAAAGCTACACGAGTCTTTAGGATCGGTATGCGGGAAGGGGTTGAAATCCCTGGATTTTTTCCTTCCCTGGCTGAAGCCCTTGTGACTACAGAGTACGGTATTCTAGTGGCTTTTTTAAGGCTGCTTTCAACAACCATATTAACAATCACTATAAATTATGCTATGTACGTCTAAGAGAGCAACAGTTTCTAACCAAAAGAGCAAGAATAAGACTGAAAAAGTGTAAGGCAAGGAAAAGAAAAGGTTTTCGACTTTACCTAGTACTTTCTGAATGATCGGCTTCACGGCAATCACGTGGTAGACCAACAAGTCTTGTTTCTCTGAACGAGTGAGGAAGATGCTGCTACAAAAGTAGCACCTGAAGCTTTGGCAGTAGTTCGAGACAGCTGGACTTACCACACAGAGATTTACTATGTAAGTAATGGTTGAATTAAATTCACCGGCTAGGAAGATCAGGTTTCCCAAACGGATAATTCACAGAATTGGTATTTTCCGGTTGGAGAGGAAAAAGCACGTCCTTTTCCAATAAACAATCTATTTATTTAGGGCTTGTATAGGTTTCAGGATTGATGTCGCCAGCGTCTAGACAGTTTACTGTGATTCTGGAACTCTGTTTAATGCCTTTAACACTGGCAATTCTGTTGAAACATCGACTCGGAAAGGTATGACACAATTTCAGGATACAATCATTACTACGATCAAAAGGTGTCCTTTTACTAGTCATTATCTCAACTTACTCTAAACTATTGTAGCGGTATATCATTCTTAAGGCCATAAGATAAACGTACCCTTCACTTATCGTGGGATGCTCACCTTCACTGTTAACTTTACTTGTTATGCCCGTTCTCACCATTTCACGTGTTGCGCAGTGCATTGCGTCTTGTAGTCAAACAGTCCCCTACTGTGATATGGCTGAGAGTAAGTGGTCCCAGTCTCTGCTGTGAGTTGCCATAGGATATGCGCTTTAAACTTAAACACCTCTCTCATCATACTACGGTTTACTAAGAAATGCTGGGATCGACCTGCAGAAGAACCACTTCTCAAAGTCGTCCGCAAATTTACTATGTAAGAATGAGGGGGCAGGCCGGCAAATTTGTTTTCGAAGGGTACTGATGCAGATATTCGGAAATGACAATACCCCAAGTTTTATTTATGGTCAAGCAATGTCAGAATAACTCAGGAATTTAGGTCAGACAGAAGCTAAAGGCTAACCAACTTCCGAACTGGCTACTGGCTCAGCCATCTCCCAGTTTATCGTTACCGTTACCGTTGTTGTCCCGTCCTTGCCCATTTCCTTGTCTTCATTACTGGAGAGTACGTTTGGAAGCTTCATTATCTTAGGACGTATCACGGGAACTCTTACTACGTGATTAGTTTTTTCTTGTCAACAGATCTATTAACGATTGTGGACGAGTTATTCATGGTTATCATTAAGAATGCAATCGCAGAGAATATCTCACCGAATTTACTATCGCCATAATTTTTTAATACAAGGTTAACAATATTTGAAGTGCCATCATTTACTCCATTATGGATAACATTTATTTTGTTAAGGCCACTGAGCACTTTAAAGTAACATTCACTGATGACATTTTCCCATAAGTTTTCAGTGGATATTACTGTATGCCACTTTATTTATTCACTTATTATTTTTTAAATTTTTTTTGATTTGTTTTACTATGGCTTGGTTCAACACAGTATTTTGGTGCAGGTATGCGAATACCTCGACTACATCTACAGTGTGGCCAGTTAATAGTTACTTTTGTACCATAACACTTTCAAAGGTATATTCGAAGTTGTTACGCACATCACAAGCAGTTCATCGCAGACAAAACAACCGTGCTTCTCGTACACATGAGCAAGTAGATGACAATGATCACACTGTGCGAAAGCGTCCTCGTGACTTTTCGTTGACAGGTACATGGTGTGTGATAGTGCACTACGTAACGGTTGTATGCGGGTCTGGACAGGGTCGCGTACCAAATGCTCGCGTTCCACCCTGAGGCTGCTCGACTTTCTCGATGCCTGAACGTTCTACGACCTGACTCTTTAGCCACAAATTCTTGGGTTCAAAAAGTGGTGAGTACGAACTGCAGAGGTGTCCCTAAGTAAAAATACAATCCGGTTTGGGGGGTTAATGCCTATCGACCACGCACATGGTTCGGGATTCGCTCCCGACTGATGCACTGCTAGGCCTCACCTAACCAGTGCTGAACCTGTTAAGAAGAGACGGTTTCGCCTTAGGGTAGCAACCTCATGTCGTGAAAACAAACATTACTAGTGAAACCTCATGGCTGAATAATTGAAGTCCTTCGTGTAACGCACAACTCGTAGGAGTAAAATAACAATGAGCATTTCCAGAATATTTCACTGACTAAAGTTAGGACACGGTGACTCCATTATTTAGTGCAAAGTGTTGAACAGGAAACATAGGAAAGGACATGCAATACTTCCAGCCTAAAACTCACAGGGTTTTCTTTCTGAGCACGTTACAGACCACCATCAGGGTATCTTTCTATCACAGAACACCAGTGGTTTGAGGTTACCCATTTTGTGTAATAAGTTACTCATTATATATAGTGCATAATCAGGTTATAAGGATGAAATTATCATCTTTGTCTCAAAATTTGTCATCGGAACTCGTCAAGGAAATATTAATTATCTGTTGGGTTACTGTTGTTACACTACTTGGAACAGTCACAGAAAACTCTTGTCAGCCACGTCTCATAAACCGTTAATGCCCAGCTCTTGCTACGCTCGGGCTCACGCTGTTCCTTGAAGTTTCTCAAAAACGCTTAGTAATGACGGACGAAAAAACCAAAACACCAATTGGTGAATCGAGGATTCTTTATTGTTACACCAACGTATAAACAATGTTACAACTAAGGTCTGTGAACAAATATTACAATAATAAATCACAATATTACCTCTGAAGGTGTTTTACTCTTCTTTCTGAACAGCGACCGATGAGACGATGACTGTCGTATTGATGCCTCCGCGAAAATTGGGGAAGTTGGTTATGAGCAGACAACCATGAATTGATCGTTAAATCTTCAACTACATTGACAACTCTGAAATCTAATAGAGAAGTCACATAATTTTCTCACTATCAAATCCGGAATAACCGCCAATTTTTTCGGGAAAGGTTCATAAGTGTTCGTGTTTGTTCTGTGATTGTGTAAAAATTTTGACAAAACTAGACAATTTTATATGTGAAGATGACGTTATTTAGAATTATGAACGTCTTTCAAGAAGGAAGACAGGCAAACGAAGGCTTTTCCATGTGGTAACTATTGAAGATTATCTCACTCCAAAGAATGATTTTAGGTTTTCTCTCCTTCTTATAGAAACCGCTGGAAAATCATTTTGCAGTGTTCGATGTATTGCAAGACTGCTGACATAATGCCACATTGGTAATTGACTAATCGTTCTGGAAAACCTAAGTACATATCTGTAATTGTGTATGGAATGATTGCCACAGATAAATGCTTAGCAATTCCAACATCCACATTTGCCGGAAAATTCTCAGTGGTGAATTCATAAGTAATTTGTGTGAACCGAAGGCCACTGATTATAGGAACTGACTTTAAAAATGGGTTGAACTGCATATCATCGGTTGTGCACATCAGGAGTCTACCGAACTTTCATCACGGTGTCGCTAGTTTCAACCGATGTATCCTTCAAGTGAATATCAAGGGTTATTAAGCAGATCAGATACAAGCAGAGATCCTGTTTTGGGGTCCATAGCATAAACATAAGATACATCTACGCCAGTATGGACTCAAATAATCAAAATAATTTGGAAAAAAGAGTGATCAGAACGACTTATATTATTTTAAATGTCGTGTGAGTGTCTAAACGGAATTATAGAATAATGCTCAGGTATGTTATTTCAGTTTTCAAAAATTAGAAACTTGATACTTTATGTAAACTGAAGGAAAGACCTTGAAGTGTTCATTATCTTACGTCTATGGTTTAAAAGTCACCCAAATGCCTCTTCCACCGCGAATTCTTGAGTATGGTTTGAAAGCTGCTGGTATCGCAACTGCGGTCTGTATGTTTTAAAAAATACTTTCCTAGTTATTATTTAGTGTGCATCAGCTTGGGTGTATTTTGTATGGTCTCAATATCCGCACAATGCATCATTGGTGGTCTCCTATTGATGTAAGTTTGTCCCTTTCATAATGACTTTGGAATGTTCCGGGAGCGTATTTTGCATGTAAATTTCGGGTATTTAAGTGGCGTCGCACTGACAACTGTGTCGAAAATGCACTTTGATATATATTTGAAATATTTTTCACTGATAAAACTATGTAACGATTTTTATAATCCTGAGATTTTATTCTGCATAAGTGCAGAAACCTGCTTTACATGCTTGACAGGTCCTCACTGGAATAAAATCAAAGAGACACCCTGGGCATGTTTTTCTGATCATTCACTACGCCACGAATAGAATTGCATGTTTTTTCATTTAAGGTGGTTTATCTATTGGTAAAAAAACTTTCTAATAATGTACCAAAGCTTCTTGAAACAAAGAAGACCTTACCTCAACTGCTTTATTAAGTATTGAGGTTCAGGACAGTGCCTTAGATGCGTCAGCTACGTCTCAAAGGATAAGTTGTCCAATGAGCACTGGCACTTTAGTTGTTGTATAGTGCAGTGAATGTTTGAGGGAATATGTTCCGTCAATATCCTTGGTCTTTGTGGTATACATGTATATACATGTAGCGTTGGTAATTACCCGGTAATTTCTGCACATGGAGCTCTGGATCGCAGGATTGGCGGACGTTTCTTGTGGTGTGTTTCAGCCATCAGGTATTAATTCAATTTCTCCCCATACTTAATATACTAGTACTTGTTATCATTTAACTGTTTGCAGTTCATTCCCACCGATATTTCCAAACGTAGGTATTATCCTGGCGAAGCACGTGTATATGATACTTTAGTTTTTTTGGAACATTATTATTATTGTTACTATTTTTACTATTATAGAATAATTGGCATAATTGTTATAATACTAGAAGCACCTATATGTTGTTCTATGGTTCCACAACTGCACAAATTCAATGAGTTCATTGAGAAACGTTCTCCTATTGAAAAATCAATCTTCTATGGAATGTAAGCAAATATTTAAAATATCTAATAGTCTTTTTCTCTAGTGCAGCTATTTTACCCTTAAGCCTATGCTTTGGTATTTCCACACTATTTTGTGGCCTAGCATTGGGTGGATGCTGTGCATTTAATGTTTGGAGAATTATCAAAGAAAGGTAGGTGTAGCCGTTCATTTTCGGTGTTGTGCTTGATATTTATGCCTTGTGAGACATTATGTCATTAAGTCAAAAGTCTGTCGAAAACAGACAGACAGACAAAAGCTCAAACAAACTTGTGTGTAATGTGTTAATCACCTTATATTTACTGTGGTTATTCTCGTTACCTGTGTAATTCTCTACGATAGTACAATTTAATCTATGTTTATCCATTAAAATTTCTATTATAGACGCAACAGGCAAGCCAATCCAGAGGGTGTGGTTTCGGAACATCAGACTCCATATGCTGCGGGTAATCCGCAACCTGCAACATTTCAGGGTGGATACGGTGACCCACCAGGATTCCGAGATCAATTAATTGAAAAAGCTGCTACTGGAGCAGTAAGGGTGTGATTTCTGGCTCTGGTGGTGGTTATCCAGGGACAGGTTATTCTGGCACCTAGTTATACAATCCTCAGTGAGAGTTTGGTATGTTTTCTCTGTTCTATTCCCTTCACTACCTAATAGTTCTCTGTTACTTTAAGATGCTTTCGTTTTGTTTTACCAGGCGGTTTAATTTCACTTTTCTCTTCTTTCCATGTTATTGTATCCTTGGTTAATTTTTTATTTGGTTTTTCATCTCTCGTCGCATTTACTATGGTCTCTGATTTACGTTAAGGCTGTCTGTATTTATTCGTCTCAGTTCTATCTTAGTGTATAAGTCGCACAAATCTTACTTTCATGTCTTATTTGAACTTATTGATCTTCTGTCGTGTTACTATTTATGTTCCATTTGGGGTTGATGTGAAATTAAATAATCCTGTGATATCTTTTGTTGAAAACTAATGACAGCTGCGAAGCTGCTAAAAGCCAAACAGGTCGCTGTACGCCTGTTTCATCCGAAGTAGTGTCTTCTTAACAGTCGTAGATTAGATCATAAAAGAGGGAGTTATGCAACTGACAAAAAGTTGTACATTGCCATGAATTAACTATGTTCAATGCACATTGACTTGGAGTAGTCGTTTACCTTGATGTTGTTTCGTGACTGCAACCATTCACTAAACTCACTGTGGATTTTTTATCAACAATATTATTTCAGATTATGTTGTCTAACTAACAAATTTTCTGTACTGTATACGGGATTATAATCATTCCATTACAACAATTGTCTGCATAATTATTTATTTATCATTTTCGTCCTTCATAATGTGTTTATCCTTTCTATATTTATACGTTACTTATTTTTGAATTTCTAGAATATTTTATTATCAAAAGTTTTGCTTTTGGTATCATTATTGTTATTACTATAACTACGACTAATACTATTACTTATCATGATATTGTTGTTTCTCTGTGAAGGTTTAAGTAAAAGTCAACTTTCCAAACTATTTATAAAGTGTTATCCTGTTTCTGCCAAAATAAACTTATATTGCCTGTTAACTCATGTACTTTGTCTTTCTGATTTTCAACTAACGTTTTTCATAGTAAGATGTCAGGCATATAGGGAAGCTGAATAATAATGATTATTTAATGAGATTTTTCCAATTTCACAAACAAATTTTGGTTGTTTTAAAGTTGTAGATAGGCACTGTCAGTAACTATCAACGAATGAGCAATTTAAACTCACATATTTTATCTTATCATCCTTTGACGTGTGATACCAAATTTATTTTACCGTATCTTACGTGGCTAAACTGTAGGGGAATAAATAAGTATAAAAAGGAAGTGAGTACGTCTGGCGATATAAAGATGTATGTTGAACAAATTAACAATTAGAAAGAACATTTAAAGTGTTGCACAGAAATAAATATACACAAGTTTGTAGAATTTGTGTAGGACTAAATTATATGACTTGTGGTCCTGCGGGTAGTCATGGAATAAACAGTTCTAGCTGAATACTTTGCTGTAATAGCTTCAGCACTATAATGAATCTTTACCACCTGAAATAGATGTTTCGAATGGTCATAGAAACCAATTGTGCTAAGATTTTGTCAATTATGTAATTGGTAAGATTGCTTCTGCCAAGGGGTTATTAACTTAATCCCACCTGACCAACATGGAGAATCTGCGAAACCCACCTTACAGGTGTCAGGGGATTCTTCGGCTAGTTTGCGAAGACTTGAGGTGTAGAGATAGCGCTCAATGTTAGGGCGGGGAAATCCCTACTTGACTGGACCTCAGTGGATGTGTTGTCCGTCTAAACCGGTCTGTCAAAAGACGGACAGACTGCGTTCCCCTTCGATGCAATTGTACAATCTACACTTACACCCCAACAGACTGCAGTTCGGACCAGGTAAAGGATGGTTTCCATCAAAAGCTGTTTAGTTTGTTGCAAACAGCAGAATACTTAGATGTAGTCGTTCTAGTAGGCGACTTCAGTGCTGATGTAATGAAGTTGGACAAGTCCGAGTAGTATATTGGCGGCACTTGTACAGTTGCGAACCGACATTGGTGATCGTCTTCTACATTTCTGCTCAGATAACTACCTATTCCTGGCCAGCACTAATTCCAAATACAAAGAGAGACATAATCTAGTCGTCTGACTTCCATAATCAAATATGTCACAGCGATGAATTGTGGATGACTAGGGTCGGTAGAAGACTTCTGCTTCTTTTGGAACGACTGCATTGCCTATGATCGCCCTAGTCAGTGAACATGTATGCTTACATTTGAACGGACGAGGGAAACAGCAACGAAGCCATTATGCCCCCAATGTGATTAGCACACTGTGTCCTTATTAATGAAAGAAGTATATGAACGCGTATCTGTAACCGACAGCAGGACTCATCCTGAGGAAGTCTAGCGTAATACCCAATGAGCTGTAAAAGCAGCACTGAAGACTGTCGATGACCTAAGAACAAAGGTTGGTAAATGCCATCCGCTTTATCCGTACTGACAGACTCAAGATGATTATTTCGGATGGGCTCCGAACAATTTGAAGAGCGAAAGCTGTTCAAACACAATGTGACTGAAAGTCTCCGCAACAACCACGAAGAGTGGTGCGCGGCGAAAGCTAAAGCGATAAAAGTGCTGTCAGTGAGAGGTATCGTTAGACGAATTTGTTTCATACAACGTAGTGATACAAGTACTGGTAACTAAATGATATTTTGAGCACAATTTGTTACTCATAATCATATCAATGTAGTTACACGGCTTCGTAATTTGCTTTTTAATGTGTTCTTTCTCTCTTCCTGTTATTTGCTGTAATCTTCTATAAATTGTACTCTAAGCATTATCCAGTTATCAATCCTGTGTCATATCCAGCTTTAGTTTTACAACTGAAGATATCGTTATTGAACCTTATTTAAAATGAAAAGTATTCTAAATTGTTTTATATATTTTTTTTATTGATTTCAGAAGTAAAAAACGATTTTCTTTTGTCACATTTCTCTCAAAGGTACTCTAACTTCTTATTATTTGTACTTATTTCTCGTAAAACTTCATGTTAGAACTGGAATTTCATACCATTGTAAGAAAGAGAATCTTAAAACGCTTTAGCGTTTGTTTTCAAAGAGAAAATTAGTTTTTCTGCTAGATCAACAACTTCACCATTCGATTAAATCCATCATCACTTCAAGCTGACTAACTGTACTAGTCAAATTGTTCTAAGGCATTCATTCCTGACAAAGTGACTTATTTAGACGGAGATAACGAATTGTTTTAAAATAAAATTCAGCTGCTGAAAGTTCATTTATATATATATATATATATATATATATATATATAATAAATTCCTAAAGACTTCAGTAATTCTGCCCATCTTCATATACTCCAGGCGGTCACATCACTGGTCGCTGGAATGACAAAAATTTGGATTTGGTGACAAACTGAATATAACATTAATCAGTATATGAGGTTTTTGTTTGTGTCTAGTGTTTACCTAGGTACTCCTCAAATTTATTGAAATTAACATATGCATAGAGCTGTTTATCCGGCTCAGGTCGAAATGTTTTTAATTGCTTCAATTGAATTTCTGAATGACGAGTAGACAAGTAGTCAGTATTGAGGATCAAAAGGTTACATTGATTAGTTGTTGACTGTAAATTTTCTTCTTAATTAATCTGTCAGCAAAAGATTTAACTGTTTGATTGGTTGCGTTTACAAAATTGTAATATTGTATCCTTAATGACTTTTATCATTTGTATTGATGTTAGGTAGAATTCTCATGTTTCTGACATCTTATGTATTTAACAATGAGATGAATTTCGATTTTCGGTTAAATCAAATCTTATTGCCTTCATCACTTGAACTTTCATTCATATGAATTAGAGTACTCTTACCTGAATCAGCTTTACTCTTTCAGTAATTCTTAATAGCAGAGCTTTCACTGAGTCGTAACAGTACTAATATGTAGTTTACCTGAAATTGCAAATAACTGCTTTGTTGTATGGCGTTATTGTCTAGTATTAACAGTATTCCTCATTTGTGTATAAAATTTGAAAGTCATTAGAAATATATTACGTTTAAACCAACCATTTTCATTTCGTAGATATGATAAGTTTTTATTTGTTGATCATACGTATTAACAATAAGAAAAATTTCAAACTCCCATGGTGATCAGGGAAAAAGTCACCATAATATGTAAATTCAGAATATTTACTAACTTCTTTGTTGAACCTAATTTCAAATTTGAAGTTTCTGTGAGGATTTTGGTTAATTCCAGTGTAGATTTCGTCTTGAATCGACATCAGTTGAAGACTCATTGAAAACCAAGAAACATTAGACAGCTGTTTCGTCCTGACTCGGGACTCTTCGGCAGCGCGTATATATGTCAAAATTTGTCAGAAAAATATATATTTAGAAAATGATTCATTATTGAAAAAAGTGAATATAATGTGAAGAAAAACATGGTTGTACAGTGTCTGTGATTATTCATTCTTCTGAACTATATCAGTGGTTGTAATATTGGGGCAAACTATGCAAAAATAATAGCTGTATTTAGATCTCCAGCACGGAAAACATTACGAAGATACGTAACATTATAAAGGAGTTCGTGAATATTGTGTTGCATCTAAGCTAATAATTGGACTAAATTTTGTTGGAATATATATGCAGCCATTGGTATACTGGATACAATTAGGCTTGTTTCACTATCGAATTCATCTGACTTTATATCTGAGATGAAGAGTGAAGAGATTTAAACAGCTGAATAATCTTAGACATGCCTTACGGCGTAGTGCAGAAATCTGCACGTATCTGTTTAATCTCCTACGTAGATCTGTGTCCCTTGTTTTTATATACTCCTGAAGATATTACAAAACAAAAACAATATTATGTATAAGTGTTATGAATTCAATTATAATATAATCCAATAATAATATTTAAATACAATCTGTTGAGATATATTGACCAGTGTCTACAAGGGGTTCAGTTATTCCACTTCTTATAGAGCCCCTGGTGTGGTGAGAGCAGGT